AGAGATGACACTGCCTACAGCAGATAGGCTCTTAACTCGAGAAATACGAGTTTTTGAATCCATGGTCACCATGCCTGGCCCACACATGACTACAGTTCATACAGCTCTAGCTGAGAAGTCCTTCAAGGGTGTTGCCCTGCGTGAGAATGGCAGGCTTGTACAGATTCATGCAGGTCAGTTTTTCCGCAGTATGGTAGAGAATCTGAGACACAGAATGACTTCCACAACCTCCTCTCATGTCAGCACAAGAGAAATCCCATTACATGGCCGGGAGGCCCGGGACAATCAGCTAATCCAGGACATGAAAGTTATCCATCCTGGAAGTTGGCCTGAAGAGGAGTTAGACGTACAGTATGGGGACGTAGAGGTGCTACGTTTGTGCGAAGTGCTGAAAGTGGACAGAAGAGAGACTGTTCAGGGCTTTCGCGAATACAAGGAAACCAGGGCATCCCGTACACCTGCTGCCATGGAGCCTCTACTGAAAGCAGTCCGAACCATCGCTGTCTCCACTAGTGAGTGTGAGCGGGCATTCAGCTGCATGAACGATATCCTTACTGCAAAAAGGAATGCTCTCTCTGTCAGCCGACTGTCCAGCCTGGTTTTCATTAAATGTAATGGACCATCACTAGGACAGTTCAATCCGGAACAGTATGTGAGGTCCGGCTGGCAAAGGGAAGGAGAAGTGCTGATGAAAGAGCCTGTCCAGCTCCAGCCCCTGATACTGATGTCCCCATGGCCTTCTGGAGCCTTTTCTAACAATGTGAAGTATATTGCAAAGCAGCTTACCCAGTGAGAAGACTTTTGGCATAATGTGCCGATTTGTACAGATCCTGGAGATAGAAGGACTTCAGACCAACCAGGGAGTTATCTGATCAGCTTGGTGTTCAATGTAACTCTTTACCATGGCTCAGACTTTGTTACTTGCAGTTACAGTTTCTCATTTTAGATTGTGCAAATTTTGCATTTGTTTTTACATGTTCTTTGTTCATGCTCTTTATCATTTTTCTGAGTTGGAAAGTTAGATTGCATCATAGTTTACTTTATACATATTTGTATTCTTCAGTGGTGAAGTATATTGCAAAGCAGCTCAGCCATGTGAGAAGACTTTTGGCACTTTTTCGTTTTTCGTTTTCTGAGTTGGAAAGTTAGATTGCATTCAAAATGTACAGAAATACTTAATTTTGTTAAAGCTTTTTATAAAAAATGCTTCTGACCAGAGCTTTGTTTCCTTGTCATTAATGTTGAACACCACCAGAGGGGCTCTCACCTGAAAGGTCTCTGCTTCATGTGTCTTCAGCAGAAGATCTAGACTTTGATTGCTATATTTTCAGTTAATATTGACCTTACTGAGCTTTAGCCATATCCGCTGCCTATCATAAAAAATGTTAAGAACAGTGAACCTTTCTAAAATATACAGTAGTAAAGAGACAAACCCACCAGCATTATAGTAGCCAAATTCTTGTTTGTGGGCTGTATATATAAAATTGACTTGAAAAAGTTGCTGATTTTAGAGTACTGGCACCTTTTTCATTCCAATTCAAGCACTGGATGCTCCTCCCAGAGTGGTCATCTATTGGGCGATATAAAAACGACAGCCTGTCGCAGCGAATCAGCGCGAGCCAACCAGGAGAAAATGTCTCTTCAGTTTGAGGGCAAAACAAACACATCTGGTGTTCGCTGTCTCACATTCTTGCAGTTTGGACACAGAAGAGGCTTCTCAATACTCAAATTTCCCCTCCTCGACTCCTCGGTCCTCGGTCCTCCGGTAGTAACCCGGAAATGAATTTCAGCGCGCCATTTTGAAGGACGTCTCATTTCTCTAAATGCACACCGAGGACGGAGGATCGAGCGTCGAGGAGGCTCTCTGGAGGAGCTCTAACCGAGGATACACTGATGGTTCCTCCACGGCTCCTCCACGGATGCATTTCCGGGAACGGTGGAGGCGTGACGCATGGCCGGACTTATCTCAGCCAATGACAGCTATGCATGCATCCCCTGGATATTATTTTAGAAACTGCTTTCATCGCGTCGCGATGTTTCCAGAGAGAACAGCTGTAAGGTCCATGCAGAAAGCAGAGCAGTGTGTATAATATATATCACTCAGTATAACAGGCCTACTCTCTTTATTTGCTTTAGTTTAGTAGATATCTACAAACAAAGAGTCGATATTTTTCTAAGACCATTGCTTCACATAATAAAATACACAACGGCTTATGCTTTAGGAGCTGTAGGTGTGTGTTGTACAGTGCGTAAATGCGGCGGACAGACGGGTCTCAGTTGGTTTGATGTCCTCTGCTTACTTTTAATAGGCTACTTGTAAATACAACTTTTGGCCCGTAATTTCAATTCCCCATTTCAGCGACCAGAGAGAGGGGGGGGATATATCCAGTCTCTGATTGTGTTACGTTATTATGAGAGTGCTCTCATACTTTAAATTGTATATTTATATAAATATATTTGTGTGTGTGTGTCCGCATCTGTAGTCTGTTATTGTCTCATTATACCGCACTCTCAATGAATTCAAAGTAAATATGTGGGGGAACAATGTTCAGCTGATCTAACAGAGATACAGCGCTATGACAAAACACTCGACAGCTGATGCAGCTGTTGGCACGTAATAATGAACGGACGTCTCTTTAAAATGACCGCTCAGAGGAGAGGAGTTCTCATTTCTTTAAACGTCTGCTGCTTCCCCTCCTCGGTCCTCCGCTCGCATCTCCTGTGGGCGGGTCTAAGTCTCGAGGAGGGGAACCGAGGAGGGGAAATTTGAGTATTGAGAAGCCTCTACACACATTTTCTGCATAGATTTCCCTCTCTCCTGCCCTCTCCCCCATCAGTTCAAAACACACAGCTCCACACACCCTTGGCATTTTAAAGATATGTCTAAGATATAGTTGTTTATAGTTGACTAATACAAGTAATACATGTAAGTTACTTTAATATCAATAATAACGAGGAAAACATTACCTCTGCTCTCAAGCAGTGAAATAGTAGCACACACTCATTTCCCTTAGCATGTGTCACGCACACTCATTTCATAATGCAGCCCCTCACAAATGTCACATGTTTTTCCCCTCTGAAAGCTATCTGAATTATTTAATTAACAAAGGTTAACTGTTCCTATATCCTAAGGCCTTCCTCTGAACTTTATTCCACCCCAAAGTCAGTTTACTTGGAATGAATACATGTAATGATAATCCAGGCCGACTATTGTCTCCAGGCCTCTTTCTGAGCCTTGCAGGAAATTAATCATTAACTTAACAAGACTTTAACTGGATTATATCTGAGGAAGATCTCTCTTGGAGTTCCCCTGTTAATTGAAAAAAACATTGATGATTAACAAAGAGACTCATGGGCGCCTCTTGATATCTGGAAACTGCAACAAGACTTTCTGCCATTCAAATGTAACACACTTCTTATATATCAGGTGATATAATCTTCACACGTCGGCGTCTTCTCTGCATACGGCAGTTTAAACAGTATTTCCTTTATCCTGTAATATGACTTGATAGATTTAAACTCCGCACACTGAACTCTGATCAGCAGGCGGTGCTTTCACTGAGTTGATCTCTTAGACGCCGGAGGCGGGCAGCGTCAGGTAAAAAAAAGTGATTTAGCCTTCCCAAACCTGAGCCTCACGCGCCGCCTATGAATATACTGAGTGATTAGAACTCGCGACAGGGGAAGAAAATACAGACAACACACGACATAGCTTTAGGTAGCAAAACACGGAGATATGCTCACCTTTAGCTGTTATTCTGATCAAAAGTTGTGTTCAATGACATTAAAACGAGAAAAAACGCGGCTGAAGGTTAATCCATAGGTTAATCCAATGTGTCTGTCACTTTGAAAAAATGGTAGCCACCAGAGGTTAGCGCAGCTTCCGGTTTTTGCTATGCATCACTCTCACTCCTTATTTGGTAACGTGTGTGTGTATGTGGAACTTTCTCTCGATTCCATTGGCTCTGACGGTCAGAGAGATGTCAATCATCAAAATCGACCAAGGGGGGCCAGAGATATAAGTCAAATCCACCCAAATGAAATGTTTTGCTAAATCTCTCTAAAAAGGTCCAATTTTACTTGTTTTGCATCAATCTTGATACAGGGTACTACTTATATAGTTATAGTTTGGATTCCTAAAGCTTTTAGTCTACCATTCCATCATTCAAGGGTGGTTTTCAGTAATGTGTTTTTTTTGGACAGACACAATCATTTACATTTTCTTACTATGTTCAATCTGAATTTACTTTAAAATAAAAAATATGTATATTGATTCCGACTCACAGGTTTATCATTGCTTTGAGAAAAAAAAGATTATTAATTTTCCCCTTTTAGAAGTGTACAGTAGTTATGGTCATTTGTTCTGGGAATGTCATTTTCGAGCCTGAGACCTGGAAAACAGGCTCGGGGCTTAACAGGGGAGATAACAGACGTCAGGGTTGGTCATAAACGTCAAAGGGCAAAAGGTTCGATAACTAGGAGAATTATTCCCGAACAACATGTAGTACTGTACTTCATGTTATCTTTTGATGCAGTCATCGAGCTCTCATGGTCAATTTAATAAAGCACATTTTAATTCCCCTTAATAATTGCAGTATCCAAACATGTATGTTGATATCAGGTACAGATATGGCATGTTTTAGTTGTTAAACACCTTGAATGTACATCATTACACTGCCATTTCTGACTTTCAGTCTTTAACAGAGAATAAATCACAGAAAACACTTTTAGTAAGGTCACTTTTTTATTTCCATAATACAACACTGAATTAATATAATGAATGCATGCAAATTGAAAGAAATCTAATATAACCTAACAATGGCTGGAATATTGGTCATATTGGTTAATCAAAAAGTTTACATTGTAAGTGTATCCATGTAATCTATGAGATATTCTTATCTTAAACATGTATACTGTGATATTATAAGTTATCTTCTTGTTCTAGTTTCAGTGTCTGGTTTAGAGGATTTATATCCTGCACCATATTTTTCATATATGCATTATCTAGCCATCAGGTATTTTTTAGTGTTTTTCTCAGGCCTCAAAAGAATGACAAAACATTTGGGGGCAAAAATGCAGAGCAGCAAGCCAAAACTAGATGCAAGGATTGCAAAAATCTCCACAGCAACAGTGTATTTCCCGGGAGAGCTAATGTACGCAGGGACAAAAGCTATCCAGACCGCACAGAAAATCAGCATGCTGAAGGTGATAAGTTTGGCCTCATTAAAGTTGTCAGGGAGTTTCCGAGCAAGAAAGGCCAAGAGGAGGCAGGTGCAAGCCAACAGACCAATGTAGCTCAAAACCAGAGAGAAGCCCACCACTGAAGACATGGCACACTCAAGGGTGACCTTTAACCCTGGAATAGTCAAGTCAGCTTGAGGCACAGGGGGGCTGAGGGACAGCCAAACAATACAGATGAAAACCTTAATGAAAAAAAACATTGCACAATGTTAGGGTAATGCAAGTACATTTTTTCATCGTGTTATTAAATAGATGCTTTGCAAATCTGACCTGGATACAGGAAAATAGGCAGACACTTCCTCTCTGTTGGCCTGGGCCAAACCACTTCATTAAGGATCCAGCACCAGGCCGAGCTGAGCGGAAAGCTGCAAGAACTACTATGGTCTTGACTTTAAGGCAGGAGACACAAAGTACAAAGCTGATCCCAAATGCTGCCTGCTGGAACCGACAAGTCCACACTGATGGACGACCAATGAACACCAGAGAGCACAGGAAGCAGAGCTTCAGCGACAGGAGAAGCAGGAAGCTCAGTTCTGAATTGTTGGCTCGCACCTGCAAATAGGAATTGGTATTGAATTGGTAATAAAAAGGCTAGAACATTAACAGCACACAACAGATTAATTTAAAGTATTTTAAACATATATTTTCACATCAAGGAATGCAGCATTATATTATTTCAGAGTGAATATGCTGTCCTACAACTACAAATTACAAATGAGTTTTACAAAATGTACTGTTTCTCTATCGCTTTAGTCTGGTTTCTTACCATAGGTGTTTGACGGTAGTAAATAAAAACTACAAACACAGCTGTTGTCACAGAAACACCAGACACAGCTACTGTGGCCAGGATAAAGCCCAATGTTTCATTAAAGGAAAGGAAGTCCAGCTGGCGAGGTACGCAGGCAGTTCGTTTAGCATTAGACCAAAACTCAGATGGACAACGCTCACAGATAAGGGAACCTGGGGAGGAGTAGGAAACATACAGTAGGAACACTGAGGATGACCTGAAATCATATTACAAAGTAAAGAATATCTTATGTGGTTATTTCTTTTTACCAGTGTGATTGCTTATCTCTCCTTCAGCACAAGGGATACAGTCAAAGCAGCAGAGAGGTTCTCCCTTCCTGTTGGCCTTTCGGAAACCTGGGGAACAGCTCTCACTGCACACTGAAACAGGCACCTAAACAACAAGTAAAACCGTATTCTTTAGTACAAAATATATTCTTCTAAACATTTGAACTGGAAAGACATTTTAGCCTTGATCAATTTCCCTGTTCCTTTCACCTGATTGGATCCTGTGTTCCACTGAATAGCTGACAGGTCAAGGTTGATGTCAAACCCGTCCACACGTCCAATCAAAACTACTTTGAGTGACCCCTCAGGGGTGTTCTGCCAGTTAACAAGGTCGTACTTTGCTGGAGTGTTGCCCTCTTGAAAATAAAACATTTCCCCCTGTGGTGTGGTAAAATTCAAGTTGTTCAAGTGGTGCAACACCTGAAAGCAACACAATTGTAGTAAATATTTCTAAACCTAAAGGTAAATTACACAGCTGCATTCGTCACATAAAAAACACTTTTACTCTTAATGTCCTCAATTAAAATGTGTTTTGAAATGGACATAGTTGTGTTTACCTCTATGGGTTTGATCTGTTTTGGAGAGGAGCAGGTGGAGCTGATGTTTCCAGGTGAGCTGTCTCTGTTAGGGCAGGACAGAAGGCTGTGGAGGGCGTGGGCTGAAGCATAAACAGCAAGATAAACATTATATGTCACTCTTAGTTGAGAGGTGTCAGTGAAGAGATTCTGCACTTCCTCCAGGGACTCTCTGCCGCTGCACGGTGGAAGTGAGGCTTTCTGAGACAACCGGTCTGTGGGAGACGGTGAACTCGTAGAGAGTGGTGAGGCCCCAGGACTACAACCAAACACCATTTCCCAGAATTCCCATAAGAACTTATCATCAGGTCGTAAAGAGGGATTCAAACTTCTGAGAAAATGTTCAAATCCAGGTATTGCTGAACTTCGAATTGCCACACCAAGAACACCACTAGCCACTTTAGAAGTGATAGGATCTTGCAGCAGATTACCACTGGTGCTCCAAGCCTCACTAGCCAGAAACTGTTTATCAGTCACCTAGTGAAAGCAACACAAAAAGGTATAATGTTCCTCAAATAAGATTAGCTATAATTATTTACAGATTCAGTTCACCATGTAGTTTAAATTGCTCACATTTATGTTGGCGAGTTGCAAAAACAGTTCCCTCACATCTGTGTACCAGGTAAAGATCAGAATCACTTTTGCAGTTGAGGCCTGAATTGTGAGGGCTGCTCGTCTAGCATCCATCACAATGTTTTCCCTTTGCAGAGTCTCTATGAATGCCAGGCACACCCCTGTCCCCTGCGTCTCCTCCTGAAATATCTGCCATATACAGTCGAAAGGAGCAAAAAACATTAGGTGAATGAAAAGGTTTCAAATATTGTATTTAGGCAGATGTCTTATACAGATGCCATAACATTTATAATAGGACAAAATGAATAACCTTTATTGCCACATGGCCATAATCGTTGTTTGCTATCACTCCTCCAATCCAGGTCCAATTTAGGCGTATTGCAATTTGGGCAATAGCCCGGGCTTGGTAAATATCACTGGGCATTGTCCTGAAGAAGTTAGGATACTGGAGCCTGTCACTTAGACAGGGGCAGCTGGCTGTGTAGCTCATCTACAGTAAAAGATAAAAACAAATATATATATATATATATATATATATATACATAAATAGATGTTCTAAAATCACACACTAGTTTATAATTTTCACAGAGAGAATGTGTTTCTTAAGAAGACTGTGTATGTTGTGAGGGCAGCAAAAGAAATATGACAAAACATTAAAAACTTTCCTGTTAAATGTGGTAAATGTTTAACCACAGTGTTTGTGAAAATTACAATTTAACATTAAGACAACAAATTGCATTTTAAAATCAGAATGTTTAAATTGTGGTTAAACTAAGCAGATGTATATGGTACCTACTAAAGGTATGGAGAGTGGCGCCAGGATTCTTGAGAGTATCATGGCTGTTATAGACGAAGAACCACCAATGATCAAAGGAACAGGCTGATCACCTGATGACATTATAAGACATAATACAATAACTTAACTTGTTAAGGGCTTGGTTCTGTTTTGAACACATTATTGCAGAGTTTCATTTCATTTGCCTATTATTATAAGAGTAGGATTTTCATTAGTACCAAACAATGTTAATGTGTACCTGTTCTTTCTCCGATCCCCTCTCCATACACAGAAGAATACTCTGGCGGAGCTGCTAAATCACAGGTAGCACTATCTCCTCCAACCAGAGACAGTGCTGCCTGCATGGCCCAGGAGGGTAGGGCACAGCTATCACGAATATGGTAGCCCAGCTTCACACCTGGCAGCAAGCTGTTACTATGATTGATTTCCTCCAGCGCAAACACCATAGCATAAATATACTGTAATGGAAGATATTCCAAACTGCATGAGAGGGATAGAGGAGAACATATCATTCAAATGTGACTGTGAAGATGTGTAATCTGTGTTAAGAATAGGTGATACTTTTCTGTCAACATTAAAGAGGTAACTATAACAACATCCTTTTATCAAAAACAATATATGTGAATGTTTAGACAACAATAATAGTTAACTGCCTATTGAATTGTTATGATTCTTTTGTCAAATGCATATATATTATACAGTTTTCACAGTAGATAGAGCAGTTCAGAGTTTTACCCAGTGCAAGGTTTGTTGTGTGGCAGCTCGGTGAAGCCGTTGTCTATAGCTGCAGGATTGTAAAAAAGACTAAAGAGCCCACCAATTACTACATCTCCATCCTTGAACAGACCCTGATCGCTCGGTGTGCCCCACTGTGTACAAGTCGCTGTTTGAACCATCTGTAATCCCAGCCTGAGCCCCAGCTGACTGCCCACCAGGAGCAGCAATGCGGCTGAGCACAGCCTCAGAGTGAAGAGCCAGGAGAACCAAGACATGGATGCAGCTGTTTTGGACACAAAGTGTTCAGTTAGATAGATTCTCATTTGCACAACACACATACAAAAGAGGCATAAGAAACAGTTAACAGTTCCTGAAATTAAAATATAATTAAATCCCTTTTATGCATCATCGAGACATTCCCCTGTAAATACAAATAAATGTCAATGACAAAAAGAATATTACAAGAGATAACACTTGCACTGAATACGTACTTGACAAACTCCCCCTACTTCTCTGCACAACATCGATCTTGGTCTGTCTTTTTATAACATCTGTAAAGCCCATGGTGGCATGATATAAACAGGATGGCACTGAACCGAAAAACTTCTCTCAAAGGTGAGAGAAAAACAATTATAAAATGACTGACTGCTGTTTGATACAGAAAGTACAGTATTTGCCTGGAGGGCAGTGACCGCAGATATCCCAATAGAGTTATATTTTAATTCCCAACACTCAGAGCATGAATTCACAGGGCCACACCTCTCACACTTTGGTTCTGTTCTTTCAATTAAAGTTCATCATGACCTTTTGGAAAATGTTTTTGTTGCTAAGATAATTTGTGTGTGTTTATATCTGGAAAAGTTTCCAGAGCACCCATACACTTATTATTGCCAAAGAGAAAAAGTAATGTCACAACAACTCTCTGCCAATTTCAAAGCAGCCCCAACATCTCAGGAGTGCAACCATAAGCATCATAGGCCTGCCGGAGCATCTTGCGTTCATATGGCCAACACATAGCAGATAGCAACTTATACAGCATAGAAACAGGCCAGTCATCACCATTATGACGTTTCAGTCCATCCATCCATCCATCTTCTCCCGCTTATCTGTGGTCGGGTCGCGGGGGTAGCAGTTCCAGCAGAGAGCCCCAAACTTTCTTTTCCCTGGCGACATCAACCAGCTCTGACTGGGGGATCCCAAGGCGCTCCCAGGCCAGCGAAGAGATATAATCCCTCCACCTGGTCCTAGGTCTACCCCTTGGTCTCTTCCCAGCTGGACGTGCCTGGAACACCTCCCTAGGGAGGCGCCCAGGTGGCATCCTAACTAGGTGCCCGAACCACCTCAACTGGCTCCTTTCGACGCGAAGGAGGAGCGGCTCAACTCCGAGTCCCTCCCTGATGACCGAACTTCTCACCTTATCCCTAAGGGAGACACCAGCCACCCTGCGGAGAAAAACCCATCTCGGCCGCTTGTATCTGCGATCTCGTTCTTTCGGTCATGACCCATCCTTCATGACCATAGGTGAGGGTAGGAACGAAAATGGCCCGGTAAACAGAGAGCTTTGCCTTCTGGCTCAGCTCCCTTTTCGTCACAACGGTGCGGTAAAGCGACTGCAGTACCGCTCCCGCTGCTCCGATTCTCCGGCCCATCTCACGCTCCATTGTTCCCTCACTCGAGAACAAGACCCCGAGATACTTGAACTCCTTCACTTGGGGTAAGGACTCATTCCCTACTTGAAGTGGACAGTCCATCGGTTTCCTGCTGAGAACCATGGCCTCAGATTTGGAGGTGCTGATCCTCATCCCAGCCGCTTCACACTCGGTTGCGAACCGATCCAGTGAGTGCTGAAGGTCGCAGACCGATGAAGCCATTAGAACCACATCATCTGCAAAAAGCAGTGGTGCAATCCTTAGTCCACCGAACTGCAGACCCCCCTCCCCCACGACTACGCCTCGAAATCCGATCCATGTATATTACAAACAGGATTGGTGACAAAGCGCAGCCCTGGCGGAGGCCAACCCTCACCGGAAATGTGTCCGACTTACTGCCGAGGACCCGGACACAGCTCTCGCTTTGGGAGTACAGAGATTGGATGGCCCTGAGTAGAGACCCCCTCACCCCATACTCCCGCAGCACCTCCCACAGTAACTCCCTGGAAACTCAGTCATACGCCTTCTCTAAGTCTACAAACACATGTAGACCGGATAAGCGTACTCCCAGGCCCCCTCCAGGATCCTTGCGAGAGTAAAAAACTGATCCGTCGTTCCACGACCAGGACGGAATCCGTGTAGCTGGAAATTAAGGGAACCTGCTACATCTATGTAACTTAGTCCAATTATTTTTTGCTAAATGTCACCAATAGGCCATAGCACCAAGAATGGCATGTATCAGTAAAGGACTAAACAGAAAAACAATGGTAGGCCTAAAGGGAAATGGGTTGGGGAAGCAAGGCTGACTTTGCCCTGGTTTGAAACACTACAAGGTGATCTTGTCTCAGATGACTGTTTAAGCTACAGGCGTACAAATGCTCATTTTGATTTTTTTTCTTCATTTTACAAGCACTTACATCCCTCTACACACTGGCAGAGAGGAGGCAAAGAGGGGAAGAAAGAAGCTATGGTCATGCTTGTTGTTTTTCATTTTGCATCAGGGCTCACCTGCTACAAGCATTTGTTATTTACAGTAGATTCATTATTATTCTGTAGCTACATGAACTTAAACTCGTGGGACTGAGTGAACAATGTGTGGGCATTCAAACAACCTGCTAAAGAAATTGCAATTGATGTCAAATCCTCACTGTGATTTACACAGGATCTGCCATATAGATGTTAAAACGTGAAGGAAAATATGAGGAGGGAAGGTAAAAACACTTTAGAGATACTTCATTCAGAATTGATATTATGCAACAGAAAAACACTTAGGGCAGGCCTTTGAAACCACTTTATGTTGTCTGAACAAAGTCCAGGTAACTCTTGTGAGAGATATTCTGGCTGGGGGAAGCCAATGTGATGTCAACGAAATGTCCATAACGAAGAAATGCAGAGATGAGGTATCAGGACATGGAGTTATACTTCCATCTAGTGGTTGGCACTTGGTACATGCAGTGGAACAATTATGTATATTTTGTTATCAACATAACTTTATGTCATTCCTTCTTTAAAGTGATTAGTGTTTCAAAAGTAGTTAGATTAATGGATAGCCGATATTAATATGTGTAATCAACCTTTGATGAAGCATTCTGAAGCCACATTAAGTAAGTAAAAACACTTTAGAGATACTTCATTCAGAATTGATATTATGCAACAGAAAAACACTTAGGGCAGGCATTTGAACCCACTTTATGTTGTCTGAACAAAGTCCAGGTGACTCTTGTGAGAGATATTCTGGCTGGGGGATTAAACATTTAAAGATCATTGTTTCTAAGTAGTTGATTTGATGGTAAATATTACAAAACCTAGTTAAATAGTACATTCAGGGGCTGATTTTGTTTAAACATGTTTAGCAGGAACACATATTTGTATGATTGTCTTGTTGCTTGTTGAATATAAAAAGTTGGTTTCTGCAAAGTGCTTTAATCAACCTGCTCTAAAAGTCCTAATCACTTTCTCCTTTTGTTATTCTTTGTGAATATAGTGGACACATTATTTGTTTAGTTTAAGCACATGGGCTCACAGCTACTCTATATTATTATTTTAAGGGCAAATACTCTTAGTAGCTGTAGAGAATGAGACATATGTGGCACAGCTGTACAAGCCAATGTGATGTCAACGAAATGTCCATAACGAAAAAATGCAGAGATGAGGTATCAGGACATGGAGTTATACTTCCATCTAGTGGTTGGCACTTGGTACATGCAGTGGAACAATTATGTATATTTTGTTATCAACATAACATATGTTATGTAATTCCTTCTTTAAAGTGATTAGTGTTTCAACTGTAGTTAGATTAATGGATAGCCGATATTAATATGTGTAATCAACCTTTGATGAAGCATTCTGAAGCCACATGTTTCTAATTGTTAGTTATATTGATTTAACTATGCAAAGCCAGACCACAAGACATTGGCCCACTGTAAAAGTAATACATTTATTTAATGAAATGTATTACTTTAAATGTGTGTATTTTAATTGTAAATAAATGTATATTAAATATATTTTCATTTGGTGTAATTTTCATCAAAATATTTCGAAAGCAACGAAGAGTTGACAGTTAAGGTATACTTTTTATTCAAAACAGAAAAAGAGAACAACCAACCACAAAAATGCCATAAAAATAACTAACATCTTAGTAAGCTTAAAATGTGTTGACATCTAAGAACAGAAAACATAAACTTATATATTACAATCTGAGCCATAATTATGTGTGGCTGAAAGGCGTTTATTAATTTCATAAAAGCAAATAAACTGTTTTAATTATATTGAAGAATTTACACACTTACACATGAACAATTGCATGACACCAGGCTGTGGAAAGTTGGTAGGACATTTTCTCCACATGTTTAAAAAAGAGTTATAAGTTCACATTGACATCAGACGAACTACCTTGCCATCAGGTGTTTCTTAGTGTTTTTCTCAGGCTTTAAAATAATTATGAAACATTTTGGGGCAAAAATGCAGAGCAGCAAACCATAGCTAGAAGCCAGGATTGCAAAAATCTCAACAGCGACAACATACTTTCCAGGAGAGCTAACATACGCAGGGACAAAAGCTATCCAGACCGCACAGAAAATCAGCATGCTGAAGGTGATCAGTTTGGCTTCATTGAAGTTGTCAGGGAGTTTACGAGTAAAAAAGGCCAAGAGGAGGCAGGTGCAAGCCAGCAGACCAATGTAGCTCAAAACCAGAGAGAAGCCCACCACTGAGGACATGGCACACTCAAGGGTGACCTTTGACCCTTGGAAACCAAGGTCACGCTGAGGCACAGGGGGGCTGAGGGACAGCCAAGTAGCACAGATTATAATCTATATGAAAAAAGCAAAAGAGTGTTATTTTTTTACAACACGTTTAGAAAGCTTATCATTTTATGAATACAAAAATATTCGCACTTGTATGGATGTAAATAGGCAGACGCTTCCTCTCTGTTGGCCTGGACCAAACCACTTCATCAAGGCTCCAGCACCAGGCCGAGCTGAGCGGAAAACAGCAAGAACTACGAGGGTTTTGACCAGCAGGCAGGAGACACAAAGTACAAAGCTGATCCCAAATGCTGCCTGCTGGAACCAACAAGTCCACACTGATGGCCGACCAATGAACACCAGAGAGCACAGGAAGCAGAGCTTCAGTGACAGGAGAAGCAGGAAGCTCAGCTCTGAATTGTTGGCTCGCACCTTGAGGTGAATCAGATTTACAGACAAAGAGGTGATGATTTATACATTAATGTTTTATACACAATAATGTGAAAGAATTTCAAATGAATACAACAATCTTTGTTTGATTATTCTGGGTTCTTACCACTGGTGTCTGACGGTAATAAAGAAAAAGAACAAACACGGCTGTTGTCACCGCTGCACCAGACACAGCTGCTGTAGTCAGAGTAATTCCTAAGGTTTCATTAAAGGAAAGGAA